ACATTCAAATTTCATCATTTTTTGCGGTATTTTTTTCCGATGTTTGGACTTTAAAAACTCAGGAAAAGTGGAAAAAAAGCATGACATGCATTTTTTGTTTTAGTTAGACGTATTAATTAGGCGTCGTTTAAGGTATTGTTCACTAAAATTTATGGAGAGACGGTGGAGCTAATTGATGCACCTATACACGACAAAATAGAAGACAAAGGATATAATTTTATTAGACTTTTCCTGAGCTACTAGAGTTATGTGAAAAAAGAAGCGCTACCTCTGAAAAAAGCTTAAAAAATACCATATTTCAAAAATGCTTCAAAAAAAGTTCTGCCATAGAAAAAAAAAATAGAATCAAACCATATCTAAAGCCTAGTACTCAGATCCAAAAACTGTTTGCTAGCAAACAAATGTCATATATTCTTCCAGCGACCAGTTGTGGGAGCAGAAGTGTGCACTGCATTCCGCACGGTTACACTGCTCAGACAGCTGCTTGGTTTTGTTTTAAGTTAATAAAATGCACTTCTTTATGTAGGAAAATTAAAGTATTCCAGTGTTTATTTAATGTATTTAGGATAGGTTTTAAACGTGATACAGTTTGTGCTGAAATTAGTTCTCGTAAAAGTATTTCTTGTGGACCACTTTATTTTTACTTCTTTTCTTAACCACACGATAGGAATGACTCCGCTCACAACGACGCTCGGGTAGGTTATCGATTCATGGCTATCGACCGGTGATCAGAGGGTTGCCGTATAACTCGCACCACTTCTAGTGTGCCCCTTTTGTGATTGCCCGCCAGGTTCAAATCCCACAATCGGCCCTCCTGACGGAACATTCGCCTCGAATGGACCTGGACATGGCTTCATGTACTCGGACACCGTTGACGTTCTAAAAGGACCCTACGTATCTCCAACTCTCTCTACTTCATAGCGCTCATGTTCCTTAGCAGCAACCACTTTATACGGTCCTAAGTATTTTCCTTTAAGCTTTAGGCCTACTCCATATTGGGTTCTCTTAATGGCAACTAAATCGTTCACTTTATACTCTTTTTCTTTCTTACGTTTCAAGTCAAAAGCTCTTTTATTTTCTCCTTGCAGTTTCTCAATGTTTGGTCGGGCTTCATTACGGATCTGTTCACGCTCTTGTTCTAACTCCTTTATGACAAATTCGTTGATTAACTCCCTTAGCTCACTGCTATCAGCTAAACGCATATCCACTCCTGTTAATAGCTTGAAAGGAGTAACTTTGGTGCTTCTAGGCTCAGTACTATTAATGATCTGCTGGACTTTCCCTACGTACTTATACCAGGCAGCTGGACTGTCATAACTAAGCTTTGACAACATGGGTACAACCAGCTTATGCAGCCTCTCAACCTGTCCGTTCCCGCGTGGCACACCGGTTGCAATCAGTAGGTGTTGAATATTGTTCGATTCGCAGTACTCTCTAAATGCGTGTGACGTAAACGCAGTGCCCCTATCTGAAACAATACGGTGAGGATTTCCAAAATTTACCGCTTGTTTCTCCAAACTGTTCAAGACCTCATCTACCCCAGTGCTACGAGTTGGGTAGAGCCAAACATATTTAGAAAATCCGTCAACTACAACTAATATGTGGTTATAACGCTTATTAGTTAGTTCCATGGGTCCGACATGATCGACATGGTAGGTTACAAATGGCATGTTCCCTTGTCTATAGATGTCAGAAACCCTTCCTTTTTCCCTGACTTTGCATTAACTATGATGCACCTAACACAACTATCAACGATTCGTTCGACCTTATCTTTTAGCTTCGGATTAAAGTATGACTTTTCTATTAAATCTATCGTCTTCTTAGTTGAAAAGTGCCCTTGACTATGCGCATTCGAAATGATTTCGTTCTCCATTACTGATGGCACAACAACTAGTTCCCGATTTTGATCCTTCAAAAGAATATCGTTGTGAATATAAAAATCTTCATAGCCTTCATTCCTTACGAGGCTCCTAACTGCCTTTATCCAATCGTCATTCAATTGAGCTACCTTTAAACGATGTGCTAATGCATCTGTAAAAAAGTTACAAGAGATTCGACTTAGCGCATCGGCATGCTTCATTTTCAACCCCGATCGGTGCTCTATCTTATAATTGAAGTCTTGCAAATATAATGCCCAACGAGCTACTCTGAGTGGAACTTCCTTTTTATTCATGGTCATTTATAAAGCATTACAGTCCCTTACGATGGTAAAATTAAGACCTAACAGATAAACTCGCCACTTAACTAGAGCTCCTATGATCGCCAATACTTCTAGCTCATAAGAGTCGTATTTTTCCTCAAACGGTGTTGTTTTCCGGCTCATATATTGAACAGGGTGAAACATACTGTCTACAGGATCCTTTTGCAATAAGACAGCTCCAAATCCATACATGGATGCGTCAGTGTGGATTTCGGTTGCCAAATTTGGATCGTAAAGTTTCAATACTGGCTCGCTAATCAATGCCAACTTAAGCTTTTCGAAAGCCACTTGATGTTTTTCTCCAAACTCGTACTTTGACTCATTTCTCAGTAAATCCGATAAAGGCCTGGCGACTGTAGCGTATCCGTTTATGAATTTTCTAAAATATGAAGTCAAACCTAAAAATCTTTGGATACCTTTCTTATCTCGTGGTATGGGAAATTCTTTCACAGACTGAATCTTCTCTGCTCCTGGTGTTATTGTTCCATCCTGAATAATGTATCCCAGAAAACTTACTTTCCTCTGCAATATTTGGCATTTTCCCCAATTGATACGCAAATCATTTTCCGCAGCTACCTCTAATACCATTTTTAATTTCCGAAACCCTTCTTGATTATCTTGGCTTAGTATTATGACATCATCCATATAAACTACGACAACGTTGCTTGCTACAAGCTCCCTAAAAACTGACATTATAAACCTGGTGAAAATGGCAGGGGAATTCGATATGCCGAATGGAATATATAAGAATTCATACTGCCCACTTTGCGTAACAAATGAAGTATATTTTCGAGACCCTGCTTCAACTGGAACATGAAAGAAGCCGTCTTTTAAATCCAATGTCGTGAATACCATGGAACCCTGAAGCTTGTCTAGCACACTCTCCATATGAGCCATTGGAAAATTGTCTCTTATTATCTTCTCATTCAGTTTTCGATAGTCGCAGCACAGGCGTTTCTTTCCATTTTTCTTCGCTACCAAAACAACTGGAGATGCATAATCCGAGGTACTCGGCTGTATGATTTTCTCCACTAGCCACTCCTTAACTTGTTCGTCTATCGTTTGCTGCTCACAAACTGGGAAACGACGTGGATGTTGGTATACTGGAACCTCATCTCTCATGATGATTTTCATCTCCACTGGCGCATTAGCGTTGCGAATGGGTGCGTAATCTTCTACTAACTTCTTCACCTCCGACTGCTCTAATTGGCCTAAATGAGATAAGTCTACCTTAGAGCACACATCCAACTGTTCGGAACACATGTTCTTGAACTCTGCCAGTAAATCGCTACATGAACTGTCCTCTATCTGGTATTTATTCTGGCTTTTCATTTCAGTCCTCAGTACGAGCTCAGTCCCGCCTTTAGTCACATTCATATCGACTGTATCTAAAATCGTTCTGCCTAGAATTGCGTCAAAACCCATGTCCTCGTCAGGTACTACGTGGAATTCGACTTTCATTGGGATTCCGTCAATGTTCACTGGTATGGTAAAGCTCCCAAAAGTCAGTACCAGGCTTTCTCCTATTCCTGTCAAACGTTTTCCTTTTCCTGTCAGCATCTCATTACCCAGTTTCAGGAAAACACGTCGACGCACTAGACAGAGATCAGCTCCAGTGTCTACTAGGCCTTTAAAAGTTACCACAGAATGCACAATATTCTTGAGTTCGAGACCGGACGCTGTAAACTCACTTTTCGACTTTGGTCCTGTCTTTCCCTCATGAACAGTGTTGGCACCTTTCTCATCCTTAACAACCAAATCTACCTTGCATTCTGATGCCCGATGTCCTGCCTGACCACAGCGAAAACAATTGAAATCCCTTTTCTTGCAATCTTTCTTCAAGTGAGAATTATCACCACACTTGAAACATTTTCGTACTGATTCTCTTTTTGGTTCAAAACCTTTCTGGCTATCAGTATCACCAGCACGGGTTTCATACCTAATCGGTACCTTACTCGAAGTACGAACTTTTAAATACACTTCTATTTGTACCTTCAACTCTTTGATTGTTTTAGCCTGATACAACATAATTTTGTTTGTCTTTACATCTGGTATGCCCTTCACGAAATAATCTATCAAACTTTCTTCATCCAGTGACACTGGCTTTGCTATTTCCATCAAAGCGTATAGAAATTCGTATAAAGTTTCCCCCTTCTGTTGCATACGTTGCCCTAGCTTCCTATGTACTTCCGCAGAAGATATTTTAACTGTAAACTCCTGCCGCAATGACTCCTTTAGTGAATTCCAGTCCCTAACATTTTTCTGACTGCGTACAAATAATTTTGCAGCTCCATCAAGCAACTGTTTGGAATAGATAAACAACTGTAGTGAGCTCCACTGCACGGTGATCGAACATTCTTCTAACTCTTGTACCCACTGCTCTACATCTGGGCTATTTGTTCCTGAGAAAGTGGATACACTACCCTCTACATCTTTGAGGGTAAACAAAGATCGGGTCTGTGGCATGGCAATCCCTGGAAATTCGTTTGCGGTAACTACCGACTCATCTCCATCCGAACCACCATCATCATCATCCCGAATGCCGAAGTGAGCAAGAAGTCTATCCTGTAAATCGCGTTTTCTACCAGTCGTGGACAAATTAAGTTCAGATAACTTCGAGCGCAGATCTGCAACTCACATTAACATGATCTCTTCTAGTTGCATTTTGAATATCGATTACGTTAAATATCAAGAATCAAAGGTTAATGTAATAAAGCTTATCGAATTAATCAAAGGTTAATCAGTTAATTATTACCAAAGTTCTTAATTCATGCATTAACTTATCTACCGCAGTTCAGAAGATCTGCTTCTCTCGTCTGCTTGTCGTTTCTCGGCACTTGCTTGCCGACGCTCACCAGAAAACTGCTTCACTCGCCTCCTTGTTGTTGCTCGGCACTTGCTTGCCGACGCTCACCAGAAAACTGCTTCACTCGCCTCCTTCTTGTTGCTCGGCACTTGCTTGCCGACGCCTTCCAGAAGATCTGCTTCTCTCGCCTCCTTGTTGTTGGTCCGCCCCTGCTTGCCGACGCTCACCAGAAAACTGCTTCACTCGCCTCCTCGCTGTTGCTCGGCACTTGCTTGCCGACGCCTTCCAGAAGATCTGCTTCTCTCGCCTCCTTGTTGTTGCTCGGCACTTGCTTGCCGACGCCTTCCAGAAGATCTGCTTCTCTCGTCTGATTTTTCGTTGCTCGGCACTTGCTTGCCGACGCCGTCCAAAAAATACTGCTTGACTCGCCTTTTGTCGTTGCTCGGCACTTCCTTGCCGACGTCGTCCAAAAAATACTGCTTGACTCGCCTTCCTTTCGACTTCCAAGTTTTCCGTCCCTTTTGTACCAGATTCGCTTTACGTTTCTGATTTGCACCGCTCGCTTCTGCCTTTCGTTGCTTGCCAATGCTCGCCAACGCCTTCTCACAGACCAGCTTCCGCAAATTTCCAGTCTACGTAATTCCAGCGCAACCTTTTCCTGACGCTTGGATTGTCGACAACTATAGATCGTCAATCTACTCTTGTCCTTTCCAGCCTTTCCTGCTGCTTCGTGCTTCGTGTCGTCCGAGTCGATTCCACGAAAACGTCTTCTTCCAGCCTTTTCTGCTGCTTGGTCGTTTCGTGTCTCCTTGTCCACCCATACATACACATGTACTGTCGCCGCTTAGTCGGTTGCACACAAAACGTTTGTAGATTTTATGCGCCGTTGACTTTTCGCGTTTTCGTGACCTTCTTATGCAGTATGTATGTGGCCTGATTTTTCTAGAACGTTCTGCCAACGCACAGCACTTTTACAATTTTAAGTTGCACTTCACGCTTGGGCCATATCCCGGTTGAGCCCCCAAATTGTAGGAAAATTAAAGTATTCCAGTGTTTATTTAATGTATTTAGGATAGGTTTTAAACGTGATACAGTTGTGCTTAAATTAGTTCTCGTAAAAGTATTTCTTGTGGACCACTTTATTTTTACTTCTTTTCTTAACCACACGATAGGAACGACTCCGCTCACAACGACGCTCGGGTAGGTTATCGATTCATGGCTATCGACCGGTGATCAGAGGGTTGCCGTATAACTCGCACCACTTCTAGTGTGCCCCTTTTGTGATTGCCCGCCAGGTTCAAATCCCACATTTATGTATTTTATATTCATGAAATTCATGAAATTTAATAAAAATAATATATTATAATATCCATATAATTTTCCTTCATATAATGTTGTATTAATTAGATTCTATTTGTCGGAAGCCATGCTTCCTGCTTGGGTTTTATTCCGATTGGCGTGATCAAGATAAGAAGGAGGAAAGACTGCGGTATGTAGTGATTAACGGTTGAGGTTAGAACTAAGCAATGTATATAATCCTACAGAATAAAACGCTCGTTACACACACACCCACTGGTATTTAAGTTTTGGTGTCGATATACAGTGTTGAAGGCAACTCCTAAGCGGTCATCGTCGGTCGGCGTCATTTCTTTTATTCGCATGCTTCTTGGGATCGCACACTAGCATGTCGACCACACACTCGCCCCGGCGGAGCCCTCGAATTGGAATAAGTGGGGCTACCGCAACTACGACGACCACAACCGCAACAGCCGGCACTCCGATCGCCATCGTGAGTACGGCTGGTGGATCGAAGCAGCGACCACTGACTCCTAAGGAGAGTGGGACACAAGGAAGGAATCCGAGTAGTGCTGTACAGCCTGACGGATCAGGCCAGAGCACAAATCCCAACAACGTCCAAGTTGCTTCACTGATGCAGAGGATCGCCTTCTTGGAGAAGGAGCTGGAAAAGGCAAGGGCAAGTGAAGGGCAAGAGGCAGCCGCAAGGTAAACCGTTGGAAACGGAGTTAGCGGTTCTGGAGTGAGCGGTGCGGCGAATACACCACCATGTTTGAGTGAAGAGCGGCAGATACTGAGTGAAAATCTACCGCAATGTTCGAGTGAGAATCTGATACCAGATTTATCCGAGAAAGGGATGCCATCTTTGGATGCACAGTTGCCGTTCCAATTGAGTGGAAGTTTGCCGCCACAATTGAGCGGAAGTTTGGCAATAGGGCGACAAGTCACACTGAGCACAAACTGTACAACGATGAGCTACTCCACGCCATGTTGTGTTACGGCCACGGTGCTGCCAGAACAAAGTTACGTACAAGCACTACGGGAACCACAACACAACTTCACGATGCCCATAAATTCGCTTGGGTCATATGGAGTAGCATCGCCGACCTTGTCTAATGGATGGACGCCGCGTCGATTGCCTGATCTTCCTGATTTTGAAGGTCAGCCAGAGGATGGCCTATATTCCAATGCGCGTTCGTGGAGACAACGGCGGCGTATCACTGTACAGCTCCGGAGAACAACCAAAGGCTAGTGGAGGCTCTGAAGGGTGAAGCGCGAAAGTCAGTTAAATCGCTGCTCATACACCCGAGCAACGTTGCAGCTGTAATGGAGCAGCTAAAATTCCGATATGGACGTCCGGAGCAACTGATACGTAGCCAGGTGGAGAAATTGCGAGATGTGCAAGCAATTCAGGAGCAAAATCTAACCAAGCTTATGGCATTTGCTACACGAGTCAGCAATCTCGCAGCATTCCTACGGTCAACCACAGATGGAGTCCAGCACTTGGGTAATCGTACACTGATGGAGGAGCTGATCGCCAAGTTGCCCCTGAGCAAAATGTTGGACTAGGCTAGGCATGCTGCAGCAATAGTATCGTACCCAACGGTCGTGCACTTGAGCGAGTGGCTGAATGATCTCGCTAAACTGGTGTGTACGATCACGGATGTCGGGAGCAAGGATCGCAAACGACGGGGGGATTCTAGCACTTCTAGCACAAGTCGCATGGATCAGCAGCGGCACAACGACCGCAACAAGTGCTGTGAAGGTATGTGAAGTATGCGAAGGACAGCAAACGATCAAGGACTGTAAGGATTTCATCCTTGCTTCTCCAACATCCCGAGTTGAGTTGATGAGGGAGCATCGGATCTGTTTCTCATGCCTGGAAAGTGGACATATGGTCAGGTTCTGCAAAAGGGACAATAAATCCAATGTCTACGGATGCCAGAGAAGGCATCATTACCTGCACGACGGATTGGACAATCCCAGACGGACACTACAGTCATACAGTGGGCCACGGAGGGATCAACAATATTATCACAAGCGATAACTGCATAACGGCGGTGGTCAACGAAGGGAGGACCCACAAACCTCGCAGCCATCAGTTCCGACCCCGAGGAGGTCCCTAGATGAAAGGCAGGTGCCAATGGACGGCACTGAAGTCGCACACCGGAACCTAAGCTGTGTCGATTCGGATGGAGGTCATCTACTCTTCCGCATTTTGCCCGTAACTCTGTACGGGGAAAACAAGTAAAGGCTCGTCCGTGACAATGATTAATGACGAGCTCGTGCAAAGTCCAGGCCTCAAGGACAAGAGTCGACAACTGAACATTCAATGGTACGGTGGGAAGTCCTCAAGCAAGAACGCGAAGATGGTGAGAAGATGTCAAAACAGCGAGGACCAGTGCACGTTTGCCGATCAAGCCATACTGCAACGCAGTGCCGAAGATCTTGATTGGATTGGATCATGTGCACTTGGGAATACCTATGCAAAATAGGAGCTTTGGAGCAGAGGGACCATATGCAGCTGCCACCAAGCTCGGAAGGGTGGTGTTTGGTCCGGTGAAACGTGAAGTAGGTTCACCAAACTCGAAATCGTGTCTCTTAGCAGTCCCACGTGATGCAGGGGCTCTGAAGATTCTCCAGAAGATGACCGAACGAACGGGCCAACGATTTCAAATTGGTCTGCTATGGAAGGAGGACGATGCGAGTCTGCAATACAGCTACATCATGGCACTCAAGAGACTCGTCAACATCGAGAGGAAAATGCGGCGCGATGCGGACTTCGCGCAGGCATATAATGGAATCATGGATGACTACGTAAAGAAGGGATACGCACGACGGCTAAAGCAGCAAGAAGTAACTTCAGTCAACAGTGACAGGGTCTGCTACCCTCCACACTTCGGGGGGGAGAACCCAAACAAGCCCGGGAAGATTCGTCTGGTGATTGATGCGGCCGCCAATTTCGGTGGCGTATCCCTGAACTCAGCTCTGCTCAAAGGCCCACAGAAGTACAGATCGCTCCCAGCCGTGCTCTTCCACTTTCGGGAAGGAGCAGTGGGAGTATGCGCAGACATCAAGGAGATGTTTCATCAGGTGTTGATACAGCCACAGGACAGATGTGCCCTGAGATTCCAGTGCAGGAACGGAAACGACCGGCGGGATCCAGACCTGTACGAGATAGAGGCGATGACGTTCGGAGCCACATGTTCGCCGTGCTCAGCGCACTACGTCAAGACCCTAAACGCTTCAGGGTACCTCCATACAGATCCCCGCGCGGTGCTGGCCATCAATGAGTACCACTATGTGGACGACTACGTGGATAGCTTTGCGGACGAGAAAGACGCTATCGCTGTATCAACACAGGTAAGAAAAATTCATGCTAACGCAGGGAGTTCCTTAGCCTCGTCATGTCTATCTTTGACCCGATTGGCTTCTTGAGCTGCTACATGGTGACCGCCAAAGTTCTGATGAGAAAGATTTGGTGGAGATGAGTGGACTGGGACGAGCAGTTGCCAGACGAATTGGCCACAACGTTTGAGAGCGGGCGGCTGGAGATGAGCCACGTGAGAGGATTCCGATGTCCGCGCCACTACTTTGGCGTCGGCTGCGTGCGGTATCTGCAGCTACACGTCTTCGTGGACTTAAGCCAATCTACGTTCGCTGCGGTGGCTTTCTGGAGAGCCACATATGATGACGACGACGTGCAGGCACATTTTGTATGGTCCAAAACTAAATGTGCCCCGATGAAGACCATGTCGATACCACGACTGGAACTTCAAGCAGCCGTACTGGATACGAGACTGATGGACGCCGTAAAAAGGGAGCACAGTGTATCTGTGTGTATCTCTGTGACTCCAAAACGGCTCTGCACTGGATAAGCAGCAACCACTGGCGGTACAAGCAGTTCGTTGAAAACCGGATGGCGGTGATTTTGGAGTCCACAGAAGTATCCCAATGGAGATGGATACCGTCTGCCGAAAACGTGGCAGACGATGCGACGCGGCCGCAAATCCACGTGGATCTGGATCAAGGATCACGTTGGCTAAGTGGGCCTTCCTTTCTACGGGAACCTGATGACGAGTGGCCGAAATCTTCTTCGGGTGATGGTGGCTACCCGCGAACCGCGGATGAAAAAGAGAATCCATGTGAGTTTGCGCTGGTTATAGCAAACACCTTCATATCTTTGCAGAGGTTCTCGAGCTACAACAGACTGGTCAGAACCACTGCCTAGGTCCTCCGGCTTATCCGACGGTGTCGCGGACACCATGAAAAGAGCGACGAGTACGGGTTAACTGCGGCTGAGTGTACCGAGGCAGAGCGCATGCTGATCCGGCGGGCGCAAAGTGAGGTGTTTGCTGAGGAAACTGTCACAAAGGACAGCCAATTACGAGGGCTGTCGCCATACGTCGACGACGATGGAGTCATACGCGCGTGTGGAAGGATCTATGCGGCCGCGTGCATGCCATTCAGCGCGTGGTGCCCGATCATACTGTCGCACAAACATGCACTGGCAGAGATGATCGTCAGTCACTACCTCGATAAGATGCGGCATCAAAACCTGGATGCGACCATATGCGAGATCCGGAAGAGGTTCTGCATAACCAACTTGCGAATGTTACAACGGAGGGTGGTAACCAATTGCTACATCTGCAAACTACGAAGAGCGCGACCGAGACAGCCAATGATGGGTCCCCTGCCAGAGGACCGGCTCGAGGCCGATGTATGGCCATTTAAGTATACCGGCCTGGACTATTTGGGGCCGCTGATGGTGACGATTGGACGACGAATGGAGAAAAGGTGGGTCGCACTATTCACTTGCCTAACTACAAGAGCCATCCACTTGGAAATGGCACATGATTTGTCGACAGATTCGTGCATCATCGCGATGAGGAACTTCATGTGCCGCCGTAGACCTGTGGTCAGGATGACAAGCGATAATGGAAAGAATTTCGTCGGTGCTGACAGAGAGGCCAGAAAATTCGACGAGGTTTTCGAACCGGAGAAGATCCAGGGCGAAATGTCGTCCAGAGGAGTCGAATGAATCTTCAACTGCCCGGCGAACCCAGCTGAGGGAGGCGTCTGGGAGAGAATGGCGCAGTGCGTCAAGAAGGTGTTGGTGCATACCGTGAAGTAGGTGACCCCTAAGGAGCACGTCCTGGCAAGGTTCCTGATTGAGGCGGAAAACATTGTCAACTCGCGTCCGCTCACCCACTTGCCAGTCACGGTGGATCAGGAAGCCCCATTGACACCGAACGACCTGCTGAAAGGAGCGGCCGGCGTACCGGACCTTCCAGGAGACGATGGTCAGCCGGATGATGAGAGATCGGTTCTAGAAACGCTGGGTACATGA